TTGTGTTGTTGTAAGAGGGTGTTTGCTATGACCAGTGCTTTTTCTTGGCAGAGCTCTGTTAGCCTTTGCCCTGCTTCATTCCATACTCCAAGGCCAAATTTTCCTGTTACTCCAGGCGTTTCTTGACTTCCTACTTTTGCATTCCAGTCCCCTATAATGAAAAGGACATCTTTTTTGGGTGTTAGTTCTAAAAGGTCTAGCAGGTCTTCATAGAACTGTTCAACTTCACCTTCTTTAGCGTTACTGGTTGGGGCATAGGCTTGGATTAACGTGATATTGAATGGTTTGCCTTGGAAAGGGACAGAGATCATTCTGTCGTTTTGGAGACTGCATCCAAGAACTGCATTTCGGACTCTTGTTGACTATGATGGCTACTCCATTTCCTCTAAGGGATTCCTGCCCACAGTAGTAGATATAATGGTCATCTGAGTTAAATTCACCCATTCCAGTCCATTTTAGTTCACTGATTCCTAGAATGTTGACATTCACTCTTGCCATCTCCTGTTTGACCACTTCCAATTTGCCTTGATTCATGGACCTAACATTCTAGGTTCCTATGCAATATTGTTCTTTACAGCATCGGACCTTGCTTCTATCACCAGTCCCATCCACAACTGGGTATTGTTTTTGCTTTGGCTCCATCCCTTCATTCTTTCTGGAGTTATTTCTCCACTGAAATCCAGTAGCATATTGGGCACCTTCAGACCTGGGGAGTTCCTCTTTCAGTGTCCTATCTTTTTGCCTTCTCATACTGTTCATGGGGTTCTCAAGGCAAGAGTACTGAAGTGGTTTGCCATTCCCTTCTCCAGTGGACCACATTCTGTCAGAACTCTCCCCCATGACCCTACCGTCTTGGGTGGCCCCACATGGCATGGCTTAGTTTTATTGAGTTAGACAAGACTGTGGTCTGTGTGATCAGATTGGCTAGTTTTCTGTGATTATGGTTTTAGTGTGTCTGCCCTCTGATGCCCTCTCGCAACACCTGCCGTCTTACTTGGGTTTCTCTTACCTTGGATGTGAGGTATCTCTTCACGGCTGCTCCAGCAAAGTGTAGCTGCTGCTCCTTACCTTGGACGAGGGGTATCTTCCGGCCGCCCCTCCTGACCTTGAACGTGGAGTATCACATTAGAAGCTAAGGAGAGGTTAAATGACCAAATTACTTTCCTTTGCCCAGAGAATCGTAATGCCCCATCCCCACCTCAAGGCTAAGTCTGTTACAAATGACAGACCATCATGCTGCTGTCGGGCAGCTGTTTTCTATGAGCTGTGTAACTACCTTTTGTGGTATTGCGTTGTTTTTTTGAAAAGATGACATCTGAATCCCAAATGACATAGGTTTGTGCCATGATAAAATGGAAATATTTTGCTGTTATAATTTTTTTTTGGTTCATGTGGTGTCTTCATTGTGGAGAAAGTGACAGTGAACCATGACACAGTTAACAGGCTGAGTCAGGAGGACAGCATCCAGAACTACCAGGGGATTGTGACCCATTCAGCCTTTTGATGATGGTTTTATGTTGTTAGAGACGCTGAGAGGTGTCTGAATCATCAACAGAAGATAAAATACTGCCTGGCGGTGATCTACAGCAAGTATTACACTGTCAATTCCAAAGAATTAAAACAGCTCAGTAAAGCTGCGTATTTACTTGACCCTTTCTCTTCCAGTCTGACTGATGCTCATTGAACCCCCAAACACTCCAGCCTTATTCCTCACTATTCCTCACAAGCAGAATTTTCTGGTCATAGCCCTGGATAGCTAAAAAGTAAGCATATGATTACTGTGAATAAAAGGTTCCCTTTTGAGCTGAAACAGTCGGCATTTCTCTTCTTCTGGTTAGATGTCCTCAGACTGGATCGTTTATACTTTTATTATTTCCCCCTTTTGTCATACACTTACAATTCAGCTTCAGTGATGGTGGTTTGGTTGTAAATAGCCTTTCTTGTAATTAGAAAATAATCTGACCGGGAGAAAGCTGGAAATTGCTCTCTTTGTGAAATGAGCAAGTCTTTGTTTGCAAGATTAATTCAATTCCCACTGCCATAACTGGCAGCAGAATTGCCAGATCAGTTTGGTGACTGGATTGAACTTTTCCTCCAGGAATTGTGTAGCTGTATGGCTGTGGAAACACAAGTTCACTCCCTATTGTCAGTTTGCTGACAGCTTTTTCCATAGAGCAGTTTGAAGAGTGGAGAGCCCTGTTTCTGAGACAGAAAAGTGTTTTCACACCTGACGTGCAATTTCACACCTTGTGTTTCTCAGCAGATAAGTGCATAAAATAACACATCAAACCGGAATAGAAAAAGATCAACAAAGAAAGAAAACTGCAGGTTGTAATTTGTTTCCTATCTTACAGTGCCTTTGTAGAGAACGATAAATTACAGGGATCTGGGTTTACACTTTAAAAAGTTTGACTGGTTGTTAGGTGGGAAAGTGAGCAGTAAGCACGAATCGGCATTTAGCCCATATTGAACAGGATGGACAAAATGATAAAATTTGGGAAACACCAAAACATAGAATTTCTTTAAAAGGATAAAACACATATAAATTAGTGGTAAAAGTTGTAGTTAAGAGAAAGTAAAGATATTGATACATTACGTGATTTTAGTAAAAATAGAATTTTCTTAAGATAAAATTTTTTATAATTATCCATTAGCAAAAGTAATAGACTATGTTAGTACTTACTTTCTATAAATGACTAAACCTATGATGCTAGTGACCATCTGATGGCATTCTAGTGCAGGGGTTATAAAATGAGGAGTTCAGCTCCATTTTGCAAATTTGAAACTTAAGTCCAGAAGAAAACAGAAAATCGAGGCTCCTGGATGGTCATAAACATTCATTACAAAATATTTAATATTTATTAAGTGTCTACCACATGTTAGATATTATACCAGGCATGGGGGTACAATGGTTAATAGGGAAATCTCTCTTTCTCCCATCTGGGAACTGACAGTTTTGCAGACAAGTAAACAGGCAATGGAAATGCTGGGTAATGAGTGCTGAGAGAGACTAAAATTAGATTTTGATGGAGCCCGCAGATGGTCAGCATGGCGGAAAGTGGTCATCCAAGATTCTCGGGTAAAGTAGCGTCCAAATCAAACTAATGAATGACAGAGGATGAGGTGGTTGGATGGCATCACCGACTCAATGGACATGAGTTTGAGTAAACTCCTGGAGTGGGTGATGGACAGGGAGGCCTGGCGTGCTGCAGTCCATGGGGTTGCAAAGAGTCGGACACGACTGAGCGACTGAACTGAACTGAAAGGTGGGTATCATTTGGGATGTCAGGGCATGTATAACATATGCAGAGGTGAAAGAGAAAGAGGAGCAGGGTGGGATGGAGGGATGAAGGTAGTCCAGTGGAGTGGGGATGCAGTGTCTAAAGGCAATGGTGATGCACAATGAAACTGGAAGATTAAAGGGTCAGAGTGTGTAGTCTATGCTGAGAAGTTTAGTTATTTATCCTGAGACTAGTGGGCTGTATTGAAGGTTTAGTCTTTATTAGTGAGAGTGATACAACCAGATCTGTACTTTATAAAGACCCCTCTGACTATTGTCGTTGTTCAGTTGCTCAGTTGTGCCCGACTCTGTGACCCCGTGGACTGCAGCACGCCAGGCCTCCCTGTCATTTGCCATCTTCCGGAGCTTACTCAAACTCATATCCATTGAGTTTGTGATGCCGAATCCAACCATCTCATCCTCTGTTGTCCCCTTATCCCCCTGCCTTCAGTCATTCCCAGCATCAGGGTCTTTTCTAATGAGTCAGATCTTTGCAACAGGTGGCCAAAGTACTGGAGCTTCAGCTTCAGCATCAGTCCTTCCAGTGAATATTCAGGACTTTATGGTCCAACTCTCACATTCATACATGACTACTTGAAAATCCATAGCTTTGACTATACAGACCTTTGACTATGGGATTTGTCAATCCAGTGACTGGACATCAGCAAAGAAACATGCAGTAATGCAAGTGGGAGAGGTTGGGACCTGAGCTGACAGTATACATCAAGAGCTCAGCAGCATTGGGAGGGTAGAAAGTGGATGGATTTGGGAGCTATTGTGGAGGCAGAATCAACAGAACTTGGTTACTGATCAGCTGGACTAGGGGTAAGGAAGCCAGTCTTGTCAAAAATGCGGTCCTGAGTTCTGGTTTGGGACTTGAGCAGATGATGCTACATTCACAGAGTTGGGGGACACTAAAACAGCTAGTTTTTAAAAGGGAGATATGATATATGTGAGATGGGATTTTACAAGAAACAATGTGGTATTCCATTGGATTTTGAGCTTGGAAGGGAAGTCTAGGTCAGAGATACAGATCTGGAAGTTGTCATTGAGTGGATGAGATGGTCCAAAGAATATGCAGAGAGTGAGAAAAGAAGAGACTCTTTAGGCATAAATAGTACTTTGACAATGAAAAGAGAAACACATAGAGCAAAATGTATATATATTGTTACATAAATAAAATATGGATGAAGAATGTGCATGTCCACAAATACCACTGCACACATGCCTTTGCACATATACACCCCTGCACGTGTAGACCTTCCAGTGAACATCAGCATGGTATTCCATGGTGGGCCACATGGAACATTAAGCATTAAAGGTAATCATCCCTTTCCTGAAGAGTTCACGTAAGATGTGTGTTGTGTGTGTGATAGTTGCTCAGTCATGTCTGACTCTTTGCAACGCCATGGACTGTAGCCCACCAGGTTCCTCTGTCCATGGAATTCTCCAGGCAAGAATACTGGAATGGGTTGCCATTCCCTTCTCCAGGGGATCTTCCCAACTCAGGGATCGAACCCAGATTTCCTGCATTGCAGGCAGATTCTTTACTGACTGAGTCACCAGAGAAGCCATGTGTTAGTCCAACAGCAAGTTCCAAGCCTAAAGATGCTGCTCAGTATGTTAAAAAGGAAAAATGTACTGCCCATGTAGATATTGCAATTAAACTAGCAAAACAGAAGGCACTGATGTTTTCTCATTTCCATTGTTTCCTTCTTAGATACATACGGAAAGCTCTTTCTCTTCAATTCTGTGGGTCAAGAGATGTCTCGCTGCAAGACGTCGATCCGACGTGGTCAGCCCAATCCCATCTATAAGGAGACCTTTGTTTTCCAGGTGGCGCTCTTTCAGCTGTCTGATGTCACACTGATGATTTCTGTGTATAACAGGCGTACCATGAAGCGTAAAGAGATGATTGGTTGGATTGCTTTGGGTCAAAACAGCAGTGGAGAGGAGGAGCGAGACCACTGGGGGGAAATGAAGGAGAACAAAGGGCAGCAGGTCTGCAGGTGGCACACACTGCTTGAATCCTAGGTTTGGCAAGAGGTGTTTGTGGGCTGTACCCACCCTGGTGATACGTGTTTCGATTACTGATAACCAACTCAGTGCTTGCTGGCAGGCTTTTTACAGACAGGCTGTAAGAAGGAATTGAATTTTACTAACCCCTAAGACCTTGTGAGGGTGGGAGGATCTTTGAGTTTCTCAAAGGTTTGATTTAGATTTAAACCTATAATTTAAAAAAAAAAGCCCAGATGTGTGCTGTCGAGTATACTTTATGGGAAATGTCATCATGGTTGAGATGAATGATGATAAGTTAATTTGTGTTAGTAGGTTATTGAGTTTTGGTTCAGGCTCTGGCATGAAGCTTCTCTGGCTGCCTCTGCTCCTTGAGATTTAACAGTAAGAGTGCTGTTAAAGGTTAACAATTTGTAAACCACTTGTGTGTAGGAATGAGAATTTCCTTAATATGGTGCAAAACACTTCAAAATACAGAAATAAATCTGACCCCGAGTCTCATAAAAGAATGTAGCTGTCATCCATAATCCCCCATTTCACATTTTCCTCTTTATTAAAAAAAAACTTCATTTATTTGACTAACAAATAAATGTTATAAACTTGTACTTATAAAGCAAATTTATATGAATTAAATAGCTCTTTTTATCTTATATATTGTGGTTTCCTATGAGATTTGGTTAGGTGAACCATTTTGAATCTGTAAAAGAATTAGAAAACTACTGTTACAAGCCAACTTGTCTCCTTTTGAGCATGTAAGATTTCAAAGTTAAAACTTTCAAGGTTTTTATGCTGTTTTTCTTACCTGACAAATTCTTATAGAATGAGAAGAAAACCAAAAAAACCTATTTAAGTCATGGGTGTATTGATTTTTCTGAATCTAGTGATCTCCTAGATGATACTTTTTCTATATTCAATACAATATACTCACTCATACATATATTTTGATTGTGCACTTGCATGTAAACCATATTTTTAATGCAATATTTTTGACCATCAAAGCATAGTGCATTGTTACAATAGGTCTTTAATAAATGTTGATTTGATTGATACTTAGAAATGAACATGTTATAACATGAATGAAGAATATTTTCAGTTTGTGAGGAATGACGCTGATTCTTCTTTGAGCATTTGAAGTGCCTATATTGTCATTTTTCGTGGTATTTGCAGCAACATATATTAGTCACCACTTGCATTCTGGTCACATACCATTTAGAACACTGATCGTGTGTTTATGAGCATGAAATTTTACTTCTGACTGACTTTTACATTATTGTGCATTGCATGTTTATTTTCTTAGGTCTGAGCCCTTAGTTTCAATTACTTTAAATTGGCAGTCATAAAAAAAGGGAAGGAATATGTGTACGTGTAACACTGAGCCCCACGTGCAGCTCTTCTGAGCAATTGCTGTCACTTATTTTTAGCTTTTATGTTTCATTGTTGACTTTTCACTGTCTGTGGGAAGAATGATAGCTAGTGATGGATGCATACAGTTAAAAACACATAACTCCTCCTCAGCTCTGCATTTTGACAGATTGTAAACGTAGGCTGTAGCACTTGAAGCACATATTTATTCCTTACAGCCTGTAATGGTTATCCTGACAAGCCCAGACTAGGACACAGGATAACTCGACTCCAATTTCAAGCTTTGGAAAGAAGTGATTTCCTATGGAAGAATCAGAATTAGAAAAATAAATGAATATCTTACTTTCTTTTCAGGTCATGGGAGTTCTGTACATAATGCTGCTCAGTTATTGTGAATAAGTAGTAAAACCATGTTCCATTGGGTTTTCCCCCTACCTTGCTTTGGAAGACCTCAAAGTGCTTTTCCAACATCATATCCATTAACTGCTGAGTGGTCTTTGCACTGTGGCTGTGTCATTGAGTAGAACTGAGTGCAATTGATTAAGTAGTGGCACAAAGAATTGGCTTTTCACATCCCTTACTCTCTTTATGCGCTTGTGCTTAAGGGGAAGCAGAGCAGCCTTGTTATGCTTTCCTTTATACAGTGACATAAAAGCAGCATTCACTTTAAAATTTACATTTGAAAAAAATCTGCATGTATTGTACAGATGGGCCTGGATTTTTCCTCCTCATATTTTCCTGCTCTATGTTTGCCTCATCCTTAGTCTTGTGGTACCCAATAATCACCTATACTTCATTTTTCTGCTGCCTTGACCCACCATTTCTAAGGTTTTCTTCTGATATAGTGAAATATCCTTGTGTGCTTGATCTTTTTTCTCATAGTGTGCTTATGGTAGAGTTTACAGAAATTTTAAGGGGAGGGATACCTGAAAAGCATTTTTCACTTGTATAATTTTACTATGTTGGTGCTATTCACCATGTAGGATGCATGTACATCTTGAATATCCAGCCACATTCACCCTAAAGCTTGTATAAATATAAAATGCTAATGACAAGACACATTTAAAATATGAGGCTGAATTTTTTTACATTGATTTGAAATTCTGGTTTAGTAAAATCTTCATTTTGTGTACTTAAATTTGCTTGTTTTCTTGGCAGAGTCTAGACACAATGCACTTAACGTGTTTTTTTACTTGAGCTTTTATATCTACATTTGCTTTTCAAAAGAGTTATGAAAGATAATTCATTGGCTCTGCCATGTTAAAGCTGCTTTTACCTATTTTATCTAGCTAATAATTAATATCTCATAGTGACATATGAAACTGAAGAAGCACTAGAATTTGTTGTTTGCGTAGTTCTTTCTATGAGAATGCTTATAAAATATTATTTTGGAAGGTAAATGATGCAGGAGGTTTTTGGAAATGTGATTTACAGTGTGGCTTCTTTCAGGGCATGAGTTAACACTGAATTGGGAAGTGTTCGTTTCCCCAATCACGGAGGTGGCTCTTGTGTTCCCTGCACCCCTTTGACTATTGTTGAATTTTTAAATGGGCCATTCACCAGGCAGCTGAGCACCTGCTCTCACTTCTCTCCTTCACTGGCTCCCAGTGTGATGCACAGTTGTTTTAGACCCTCTTTTTGCTGCTGCTGTATAACTGTTAAGGGGGAAGTCTTATCTCTCTTAATAGAAAAAGAGCTTGTACCGTGTTTGGATGTAATAGACTTGACATTCCACCTGTACAAAGTTGCAGAAAGAATCCTCGCCATGATGGGAGATGAGAAGAGAAAAAGAAAGCATGGTACTATGTTGTTGCTCACTATAGGCACTGTTCACTCTGCCTCAACTTTCATGACAGTAACAGATTGACCTCAAATATTGGTATTCTCCTTGGTGCTACAGCCTGAAACACAGCCTCTGCCTTTGTAACATGTAGCACTCACAATATTTAACAGATTGTTAACACTTCTCAGTCACTATGTTTTGCATCCTGGTTGTACCACATGGTCTTATCTGACAACCAAAACTCAAGTAATGCATTAAGTTGGAACTCCCATCAGGTTAAGTGAAAATGCTTCTCTGGTAGCCATTGAATTGATTAAATTGATGGCTTAGCAAGGACCGTGGAACTAAGGGTTTCTCCAAAGGCTGGTTATCTGTTTGCAGCAGAGAGCTTAGTATTCAAGACATGAAGATCAGAAAAGTGAATATGAAAGGATTATTTGTAGATGACATAAAACCAAAAGCAAGCATCATGTCCTTTAATGATGAAGAAAGAGGACTAGAAATTACATGTGGCCTCTCCTCTAACCTTTGCCTAAACTGTGGCTAAAGACCATTCCATTCTGTTTGATCCACAGGGAAAACAAATGATAGATAATCTTGAAATGGCCAAAGTATTTTTATTGTATTAGAAATTGTTCATTCCAGAAAGAAAAGCTAGGGAAAGTTATTAAAAAAACAAATGATATAGCATGAGTATGGAAGAATTAAAGGATAAATATGCTAGATACCATCAGCATCTATTGCATATATGCAAGAAAAATAAACTAATATAAATGAAAAGCCATTTTAGATTAACTGTAATTTTTCACAACTTGTGGAATTCTAGAAAAGAGAGATGGGGTGAATGAAATTGGTCTAAACAATTCAGAGAAGTTGGCACAGGCTGTGGCCCTAGTCTGGTTTTAAATAAACTCTGCCTACTGTGTGGCCCTAAGAAAATTTCTTAGCCACACTGTGACCCTGCTTATTCAACTGGAAGATGGAAATAATACCTACCTCAAAAGGTCTTTTTTTTTTGATAATGAAATAACAATATAGAGATGGGCATATAGTAACCATTCAATGTTCCCTTCTCACGATCATGCTTAAAAATGCATTTAAGGTTTGTTTCTCTTTCTAGTGAAAGTAATAGTAATGCTAGATAAGCACTAAGAACAATTTGAAGATACTTTAAAAAGGGTAGGCAGGTGAAGGTAGTCTGGAAGGCAGCTATGTTCACCACTATACCAGTAACACTACACGAAGCTAGTCTGCATTTGGGACAACCTCAACTGCAATAAGCCTAGTGTGTGGAAGAAATTAAGTCTTAATAAATCCCTAAATGATGTATAATGACCAAATCCTGACCAATTTATAATTGTATAATGACCAGTTTATCCACTCTGGTGCTTGTATGTACATCTTGATAAACCATACTCGAGACCTCTCCTCACACCCAGCTCTTCTCTACTGCTCATACGTGGACAGAGCACCTTGTTCCTATCAAAGGAGTTGATAAAGTGGCAACTTGAGTACCTATTTCAGCTTTGATCTGAAAAGTAAAATAAATAGTGTGGCACTATAGAGGAAGCTGGTAGGCTACAGTCCATGGGGTTGCAAAGAGTCAGACATGACTGAGCAACTAACACACACATACTGACACACTTTGGCTTCCTGGTGGCTCAGATGGTAAAGTCTCTGCCTGCAATGCAGGAGACCTGGGTTCATTCCCTGGGTGGGGAAGATCCCCTGGAGAAGGGAATGGCAGCTCACTCCATTATTCTTGTCTGCAGAATTCTATGGACAGAAGAGCCTGGCGGCTATAGTCCATGGGGTCACAAAGAGTTGGATGTGACTGAGCAACTAACACTACTGAAACTCTTTTCAAAATGGAAAACATTCTTTTTGGGAGCTCTTAGATCCATATTATATCCTTCAGTTCAGTTCAGTTCAGTCGCTCAGTCATATCCGACTCTTTGTGACCCCATGAACCGCAGGACACCAGGCCTCCCTGTCCATCACCAACTCCTGGAGTTTACCCAAACCCATGTCCATCGAGTCAGTGATGCCATCCAACCATCTCATCCTCTGTCGTCCCCTTCTCCTCCTGTCCTCAATCTTTCCCAGCATCAGGGTCTTTTCCGATAAGTCAGCTCTTCGCATCAGGTGGCCAAAGTATTGGAGTTTCAGCTTCAACATCAGTCCTTCCAATGAACACCCAGGATTGATCTCCTTTAGGATGGACTGGTTGGATCTCCTTGCAGTCCAAGGGACTCTCAAGAGTCTTCTCCAACACCACGATTCAAAAGCATCAATTCTTCGGCGCTCAACTTTCTTTATATCCTTATAGGTAATTTTTTTTTTAATGATCTAATGATGCAGCTATTTACATTTAGCTGTTTGACTGGGAGGTAATAGTCAGGACCAGTGATTTATCTCTGTTTCCTTTCAGAGACCATAAAGAAAGGAATTTTATCAGGGTTGATATTAAGTCCTTTTTAAGTGGTTTTCAAGAGTGCCTTGTTGATGTAATAGAAAATGTGCTCTGTTGTCCTCCAGTAGTTTTCAAAGAACTTAGACGAGCCTTTGTTGACTCTCAATCCTCATATTGAGCACAACCAGGTGCCATGAACAAGTCGCACATACTAGTGGATTTAAACTGAACAGGGTTCTGAGATGAGAACGTGTGAGACCACATTTCTGAAGCTGCTTAAGTGTTGACTCACGTCTTACTATTCTCAGTTGAGAAACATGAAGAGATTGGAGAATTCCTTAGCTTAGGGGTTTTAGTTGGGAGTAATTCAGCACGTAGGGAAGGTAAAGGGGTTGGTTGAGTATTGAGAAGGCTGAGGGGTGATTTCTAGGAATGGTTATCCAGGCTGTAAAGAGTGCTTACCAAGAGGACCACTCACCACCTCTCTTTTGACATGTGGACTGAGTCAGAGCTTTAAGTCAAGAGAGTCTAACTGAGCTGTAAGGAGAATGATATAAAGGGGATTTTGTGCTAATTCATAATGTATTCTTTGGATTTCCTTGTCTATGGCACCATGCTCTTTGGGATAACACAAGACTTAAAATTTTTTATGAGTGCTGTGACTACGCTTTGAAGCAATTAGTCACAATATAAATAACAGTGCTTACCAGCATACAGTTGTTCAATTAGTCTCATTATGTACCACAGAAGTCAAATACCTTGCTTTGAGTTATTGGAAAGAGGTGACATGTATTGATTCAATTTATTGGAAGAAACATGTAGGAACTCTGAGACTTGGAGCAGGCCTTGGTCACATTGGAGAGATCACAGAATCATCACTTTTGGAAGTCTTTTGAAATAGAAACATCTGCATGAGTGGTGGATTCTGACTAAAGGAGAAGAGCAAGGCACCCAGAAAGACAGTCTTTCTGAAGTTCCTTCTGAGCCCTGATATTGTACACATAACCTGCAAACGGGATCAACAATAACAACACTCCAGGTCTGCCCTCTTCCCCTTTGGACATTTTTCCACATTGATTTTTCTCTGCATCATAGAAGGCTTTCTCCAGGGAGTTCCTGCTGGGGCTTTGTTTAGGTTACTTTGAGGATGCTTGCAGGCTCCAGGTGAGTTTCCTCTCTTGGGGTGCTTTGACTGTTTTTGTTTCCCTCGGGTTATGAAGCAGTATCCTAGACACACAGACAATAATCAGCTGTATTTATAGCCACTGTGGAACCTGATAAAACAGCTTGAGGTTTTAGAGAACAAACTCAGAGGCAGGCATGGAAGCCTAGGACGCTGTAGAATAAAATTGTGCTCCCAGCTCTGCATTGCTCATGATTGCTGCCTTCAGGTGTCTCCATGGGAGTTTTTATGTCATGTCTTCAAGTGACAGTATTCCCAGTTTCACTTTAAAGATTGTGAGAAGGCTGTCTTCCCATTGATCTCACCATACTTCTGGAGTACTTTTGTTTCATTTTCCCCTTAAAGTATCTACTTTCTCTATTTTATTGTTTTAGTTTATATATAATTTATTCATTCAAAAGATAGTAGGTATGTTATATCCCAGACTCTGGGCTAGGGGCTGAAAAACAGCAGGTGAGTAAAACAACTTGAGCTCAATCATTTTCATTTATACTTATTTATTTTACTAGATTCTGGTAAGAACTCTAGATATACACTAAGATCTTTGGTTATCCTTTAATTTTGAGTTACTGTATTTCTGTAATGGTCTCTTCTCTCACACCTCCCTTTTCCCATTGAAAGGGAGAGGATTTAAGGAAAGTGGAAATTATTACTCTGCCTCTATTTGAGGAATAAATACATTGATTTTTAGTCTATGCTTCCCTTTGAAATAGACAGATATGTTTTAGCCTCAGAAGAAGGAAATACAGCTCCCATTCCACTAATGAAGTGAGTTATAACATGAGATAGAATTTGGTTATTTAATATATTTTATTTTTAGAACAGAATATGGAATGCCCTTTGCAAGCAGTAAGTTAGACCCTGGAATGCTAGATCTGTGCAAACACATGTGACACGGTTTTTATAAGCTCAGTGATTTAATAGTTGAAAGGCATTGCTACCTTTTACTTTTGAAAAAGTAGACTAGCAATACTGGCTGCCAGATAAAGGGGTGACAGTGTAAACAAAGATGCCTATGTTCCTATGTTTCTTTTGATGAAAATTTGTCTTAGATATTATACACATTAAACCCATGTGGGGCATCCTATGAAATGGATAAAGATCAACTTTGGGGGTGTCCTTATATTGGCCGAGGGACCAACAATTGTGTTCTAGTCTCAAACAATGTAAAATCTGTGTGAATCTAACTTTTAATGCCTTCAATTTTATAACAGAAGACAAAAATAGGAATTTTTACAATGGATTTATTGCTTATAATTCTTATCAAAATTTATCTCAGATAAATACTAAACATGTCTCGATTCATGCAAGTTAAGTCAGAATGTTTGGTGGCCTAGAAATTCTTACTGAAGACAGTTTTCTAGTTTTGCTTAGTTGATGGTCCATAATAGAAAAGTTCACATCTCTTATTTAATAAGACCTAGATGTTTGGGAAAATATATCAGACAGCTGCCAACAAAAACTCTCATCAGTGAAGAAAATATGCACTGAAAGAATATTTTCATGTAATTTATTCTACATAATATACTCACTTTCTAGGAATACATGTCTCTCAAGAGTTTGTCAAGTTCTTTACAGCTGGTACCTTCAGCAAAGCTTACTAATTTTGCCACATTTCCTTATGGACATGATAATGTTTATTAATTTACAACTACCCCCGAATATAATGCAATCTTTTATTATATCACCAAAATAATGCAGCTATAAGTTAAAATTTAGTATTAATATTATGAAACAGTATTTTCCAGAATTTTAAATTTTATTGAAGATTCTATTATTAAGTTTGTAAAGTATTTGCATACTTTATTGTGACAGAAATTTCTATAAAAATATCTGTTGAAATAAGATTTGACCTCTATTTTCTGGTGAAAAACATGATGGTCTTTGTGATCTATTTACTTTTTTAAAAATAAATAAACTTAATTTTTTTTAAGCAGTTTTAAATTCACAGCAGAATTGAGCAAAAGTGCAGAGTTCCTATGCACTCCCTTCTCCCCACACTTGCACATCCACCTCCACTATCAACCTCCCACACCAGGATGGGTAATCTCTTACTACTGATGAAACTACATCGACATAGCCTTACCACCCAAAGTCCATAATTTACATTAGGGTTCACTCCTGGATGCTTCTCAAACCTAAAAATCTTTTGTGTTTTGCTTATTCACCCCTCCTTGATAATCCTTGGCAATCAGTGGTCTTTTTACTGTCTTCGTAGTTTTGCTTTTCCCAGAATGTCATATGGTTGGAATTATGCAGTGTGTGGTCTTTTCAGATTGGCTTCTTTCATTTAGTAACATGGATTTAAGTTTCCTCTATGTCTTTTCATGTCTTGATAGCTCATTTTTTTTTAAGTGCTGAGTAATAATATACCATTGTCTGCATGTACCAGTTTGTTTATTATCTATTTAACTTTATTTGCAGTTCTAATTGCTATGTTACAGTTTGTTAATGTGTCTGATCTGAATCCAATAATAGATGTATTAATTCATATGATTCATCAAATAAAATATAGCAACTTACAATCTGGGATCAATTTCACCTATGTGAAACTGAGTTTATTTTACATTTGAGGAGACGGTTCATAAGAAACCACATTTATCATCTATGTTAACATATGTAAGCCTTTTCTCACTCCATTAGAGTCTAATGGAGAGAGGAGTTCCAAAGGCTAATCAGAGAAAATTCAAAGGCTCTGAGAATGTAATCTCTAAATTCAGAGACACTGTGGTATTTTTGTTGTTGAGCAATGACTTAAACATGCACTGATAAAAGTGCTAATTACGTTATTACTGATTCATGACAGAAAACCACTTTCTGTTATTAGTTTATATGTCTTTACATCTCTACCACTGCTGCCAAGAGAAAGGAAGCTTTGCGATCATGCCCTGTCATAGTAAATTGTACAAATTAGCCGGAAGTGGTATGTAAGCATCTGGATCATACAGGAGCTCTGAATGCTGAATGGAAGGGCGTGCTCTGATAATGCTTAGGCTGACCAAGCAAGTAGGGGTGGTGGGATGATAACACTGAAATCAGACTGGGTGAAGGGAGAAGCCTGACTGATGATCAATATCTGGGGAATATTTTGATGTCACTTATATGTGTAGTAACTGCCCTTTGCTTTGTAGCTGCAGCAACCTGTGGAACTAGGCATTATTGCAGAGATGGTATGGTTGTAGAAAGAATATTGGATTAGGTTAAAATTAATGAGGGCTCTGTTCTGGTATCAAGTCTTCCTTTAATGAGCTATAAAATGACTACAGGTCACAATTTCTATAAGCCTTTGGTTTTGCAGCTGTCAGATGGGAAGGATAATACTCATTTTACTTATTTTTGCCAGATTGTTATAAGAATACATTTCATTCATTCCTTCATTAATATGACAAACACTCTGAGTCCATACTGTGTGCCAGGGCCATAGGTCTGACAAACAGATGAAAAAATAGTTCGCAGATTTAAGAGTTTGTGAAGACTGTGAGATGTTTCATTATTTTTTAAGGTAAATCGATTCTTACTTACATTGAAGTA